TACTGGAGTAAACCAAAAACGCCTGCATCTACGATAAAACTTGCTGATAGCACCAGAAAATACCCGATATGGCAACTAAGCCGACAACACATAATCAGACAAACGAAATTAACATCTTCTTCCAGAAAGTTTTCTAAAAATTCATACTTACTGATAAAAAACAAGATCTAGCCGGCACTCGAAACCCAAACCTCAGGGAACAAAAAGCATCCGCGTTCCTTCTAGGCCAAGTGGTAGCTAAGGGTTACTAATAACGCAAATTCACAATTTCTCACAGATCTGAAACAAAAAAAATTTCCGAGAAAAAAAACTGTTTCCAGTTACAAAACACTTGCTTTCGCAATTGTAATCGATCAATTAATTTTATTCCTCATAGGGTTTTCAGAAAAAAAAACAAATTTCAGAGTCAAGAAAAATAAAGTCAAGTTTTCTTATTTTCAGTCTCAATTGAGACACAGTTTTTCTACAGCGGATGTGGAGTTAGTTCAACTACAATTCTTAATTATATCAAGGATAACCGGTTACTGTGCAAGTAGAACAGAATGTTCCGACCATACTTTTGAAAAAAAATTAAGTTAGTGACCTTTTTTTGGAGATATTACAAAAGGATTTGACAAAAAAATACAGCTGATGCATAATCGACAGTCACAGTAAAATCAGCAAATTGGACAACAATTTTTATTGAACTGTGAGTTGTAAACAAAAAAAACATTTTTCACTATTTCGAATGTTATTGTTTTAAGAAGGAACTAAAAGCTTCATGAACCTTACTAGAGTAAAACTAAAGGTTTACGGTTCAAATTGAGCTATCGTAAGCTATTAGGCTAATAAAATATGCTGATGCAAGAGTGATCGAATTATTTTTTTAAATATTTGCTTCATGAAAAGCTTTATTTGCTCGAATTAAGATTAAAATTAAAGTTTTTGAACCCGTTTTTCTTACTACTAGGACTTTGAAAGTTTCCTTTCATTTTTTCAATTTTTTTTTGAATTTCGTTCGAATTACAACTAAGAGAGCTTTAAAAAAATATATCACTCGATTTTCTCCGATGAATTGTTGTTGCCTGACTTTGCTTAAACAGACCCTAAAACAAAGTTCCTTTCCACTTTTAAAAATGGTCGGAACAATAAGTGATTACTAGAAAAGAGCATAAAAACTTATTAGGTTACTCGAAACAGCTGGTTCTGATACACAGTTTGTAAGATCATTTGTTTTCACCATAAGTTGTCAAGCTATTTAAAAAAAATTAAAACTGATAACAAGGATATCTGGTTGCTGTGCAGTTAGCGCAGAATGCTCCACTGTATTCACAAAAAAAATATAGTCTGACATTAGAGAAGTTTCTGTGTGTGACTGGATGAAAAAGAATACGGAAGCGTAGAATTTTAGCGAAGTAGGCTTTACTCACTACAGATATCTTTGATACATAAACAACATCTCCTGGTTTTCTTACATTGCAACAAAAATTTTCCTGTCTTGAATGAATTTTGTTGTTATAAATTTAAAATAAATTGACATAAGCCCACTAGCGCTTTTTCGCTCGATATTAGCTTAGAAACTAAAAATCAAAGTTTTTTTTCTATACTAGGACGTCGAAAATTTCCCTTCAATTTTTCGAATTTTTTAAATTTCGTTCAAATTACAACTAAAAAAGCTTTAAAATAATATATCACTCGAATATTTTCGATGAGTTGTTGTAGTAACTGATTTTGCGTGGAAAACATTTCTTCTTATTTAGACACCTATTCTTTTTCTCAGCAATGTTAATTGATATATCTTCAAATTTTTTTTGAGTAGTTTCGTCGGCTGTGACTCGTTTTTTTGGGGTTGCGTTTTTTGCTTATGTTATTTTCTATGTTTTCTTAACTTGCACTTCATCGTATACTCATCACTATAAAAAGCTCGAGCCAGTTAAGAGTTTTAAACCATTTTTCTCGAAACTGAGTAATTTGGAAACTTTTCAATGTCATTCGAATCACGTTTGGAAAGGCTTTTAATTGTTATATCACTCGGCCAATTAGGATGATTATTGTTTAGATCATCATGCGTGGAAAGCACAATTAAAAACAAACCCGAATATTAAATTCCTTTTGTAACAAAAAGGAGGTTCTTTTGAATTGGGCAACTGATTTAGTAAATCCAAAAAATATCTGAATGTGCGCAACCCTTGTCTTCATCTTTGATTAATGCTACATTTGCAGTTACCCTTCTTATTTGGAGTGTATTCTCGGTATAGATAGTTTGCTAGGCCCGATGCCCTTTTTTAACTTCATAATAATGTTTGAGAGTCATCATCATCATCATCATCATCATACTTTCTTGATTTAAACACCTCTTCTTGTTATCAGACGTGTTAGTTGATATTTTTCAAAAAATTTTTTGAGTAGTTTCATCGGCTATGTCTTTTATTTTTGGGGGTAGCGTTTTTCCTAATGCTATTTTCTATGCTTTCTTACTGTGCACTTCATCGCATATTCATCACCATAAAAGGCTCCAGCTAGTTAAAAATATCAGATAGCTTCTACTCCTCAACAATTCGACCCTCGATCGGGAAAATTAGCAGAGGAGCTCATCAGCAGAATACAGATCTTTGTTTGATTCATGTAGCTTTTTAGGTAGCGGAGCTTTCATTTTTTTGTTTTTTTCCGAGAACGCCCAATTGTGTTCATTAATACTACTTGGAACTTTTTATTTTTTAATAATGTTGCCGGTCCTTTCATTTTTTCTTCTATTTCATTTCCATCAGAGCTACACGTTCAACTAGATCATTATTCCTCGCACTATGTGAACTTTTTAAGCCTTTGTGCTTTTTAAATCAATCCGACTTGCTAAGAAATTAAGGCCAGCTCCGCGACACGACACCATCATTGTATCTTTCAGATAATTGCCGATTACAACTGACTCACTATGACAGCTTGCATGTAAGAGGATTTTAAATCAGTGACCACTGATATTTTAAATGGTTTGAGACTTTCTCTTCTAATACAAATTTTTGTTCGCTGATTCTCAATCAATGCATCTTTTCTTGAAGGCATGCTATAACTATCTGAAATTATTTGTTTCCATCGTTTCCTTTTCAGCTTTTCAAACAACTTCAATTTTCCAATTTTTGAAGCTTTTTTAAAATGAGCGAAAAAAATGACCCTCAACTTCTTGCAGAAACACAGAAAAGGAGACGTTCAATTTGATATTTAATTTTTAATAAGATATGTTTTCTAAATATATAAGCTTTCAAATGTTTCAAAACTTTTGGGTGATAACTTTCAATTCGCAAGTCAAGACTTAAGCGACCCCAACAGCTTCGTCCGTAGAATTCAAATAAACAACTCCCAGCTTTTGATTTCATGAACGGTATTTCAATGCGCATTTCAAACAGTCTTTGAGCGTTATGTAAAGGTTGATTTATCAAAGATTGCAAGAAATTCGGCACCATATGGGGATTTTATATTAATTTATGAATGTACATTAAGATTTTGTAGTCTATTGTAGACATGACTGCTAGCAAGTGTTGATTGTGTAAAATTATTCCGATTGAAGAGGCTTTCTGGCAGCCTAAAACGAGTCAGCATGCAGAATTTTGCATATTCTGAAGTCTATACATTTTTTCTGGCAAATTTTTGTATACTGAATTTCAAAAATCAAACCGACTGTTGATCAAAACGCGAGCAAGCACAGATTCGTCCTCAAAGCTCACGTACTTCCTGATGTTACAGCTTTTTCAAACAACGAAACGTTATATGAAAAAGTGTTTCTTCAAGTTAAAACACTCATCAATGGTAACTCCGAGCGACTTCAGGTTCTTTTACAGGTTCTTTAATTTGACCATCAATATTGACAAAACAATAATCATCTGTGTTTCCTTCAAAACTGAGAAGCATAGATTTAGTTTAGCCTCCATTCAATTTTAATTTGGGTCTGGCGAATCATTCAGTAAATCTGTTAATTTTTTCGTTAATTTCTGCACGACAATTTTTGATAATTCCAATTCTGAAAAAGATCACTGTATCATCCGCATAAGTTTGATAAATCTGTGAGAGACTCTATTAATTCTCCCAGGGGAATAAGATACAGACTAAATCATGTCGGCCTCAACAAAGAGCCCTGCGGTATATGTTGCAACTATAAGTTATTCTGATCTAACCCCGTTGATTTCATCTCAATGCTTTCTTCCGCTGAAGTATGACTGCATTATTTTTGCCGCGTCGCTCGCCTACCAAGCCGACATGCGTTCGAAGTAGCATCATTAAAATTTTGTGATCAATTGTATCAAAACCAGCCGATAAATCAAGACAAAACAAAATTTTGGAGCTTCTCCTCTCAAACGCCATACGGATTGAACTTGATATCTTGATTATCGCAGTTTCCGTGGAATTTACTTTCCTGTGTGTAATTTGATTTGGGTCAAGTAAGTCATATACAGCTACCAGATAAATGTAAAACATGCAATGAACTCTGTGAGACCTCAAAAAAAAATAATTTTTTTTTCGGAAAATTTTCAATTTAAGGAAAATTTCACAATGATTTCCTCGAATCTTTTATAGTTGACTTTTTTATTTAAACTAACCCCAGTTAAGAAAACTAACTCAAAAAGGTTATTTTCTATTCAACTAGGAAATTTAATATGTAAAACGCATCTTCGAAACTTAGTATTATATGTTTTTTGCACTATGTATACTTTCATATTTGGACAGCGTAACTTTCCTTCTTTTCAGTAAACCACTAGTTGAAAAAGCATTTGAGTTAAAAGTTGTATCACTTTGTTCATTAACACTAAGATTTCCTATTCTACCTTTTTCCCACCCTCCACACAATTTTTTATAATGGTTTTTCAAAATTTGTTTTACAAGGCAACTTTGGTCCGGTCCTAACAGCAAGAACAACAACTGCTTGCAAAATGATAATAACTTGATAGTTGAATTCCGATTTAAAAAATGACAAATTGGTTTGAAGAAATTTAAATTAGAAAATAATTATCAATAAGACCACAAAACAGTTTGCAATTTCAAACTTACTGCATAAATTAGAAGATTTGGCAAAAATACGAGATTTCCAAATCTGAGAAGATGTTCTTTCATCAATTTTGACATGAGAAAATACGCCTCGAATTTCGGTTTCACTAAAAATGCAATGTGTGTAAGAACATAACTTCGATCAGATATAAAAAGTAGAAAGACGGTTAAAACCACTACTTTTCAACAAACCAAATAGTAAATATTTCCATAAAAACAAACAATTGTTAATTGATAACTGAACTAATCAAAATCTTTTTGATGAGACGATTCCTGAATTATCAATGAGAAGGAAGATTAGACTAAAAACTTGAATTTGTAAACAGATGCTGCTAGCATAATCAATATTTTTTTTATTGTTTCTTCAGTTCCGTTTAATTTTTATGGTTAGGTCAGTAGATTCACTTTAAACTACTATAAACGACATTGTAAATTTAATGAGTTGAAAAACAATAATTATTTTTGGAGTCTATCGCAATATACAGCACATTGGGCAGAATTGTGAAATTGCAAGTAGTAATGTTTCGAATACACCATCAAAATGGCATAAAATATGAAATATCTGGGATGACATTTGCTGCTTGTATTGAGCTCTAATTTTGTAAGTAACGGTCTTCTAGCTTGGATGTGATAATTGCTTTTCTTTGCTTCTTTCTAATTCCAGTTAATTTTATGGCAAACCTTGTTTTTATTACAACTACAATGATTCAGGTAGTCAAAAATCACTACCACAATAATGAAGCAAAGATTCACAAGGAAATGGACAACTTTTAAAGTCAAGACAATTTTAAAAAGACAAGCTACGCTTGTATAATTACATTCAATATTGAGTTTAAAATGCAGTCAAAACATCAATTTCACAGTTAATGCCAGCTTGTTGACAAAATCGTTTAATTTAAGCATCATATTGAAAAAATATTTGAGCAAAATTATGTTTATTAATCTGGCTTGGAATTGTTTACCGAAAAAGAGAATGCCAACAATGTGGCATTAACTACAAAACACAGTCTATGACAACAGCTGTTTAACAGTTTGGACATTTTTTAAACGTCGGATACTGTCGTACTTCCTTGTGTAGTTGGGTCGTACATGTGTGAATTGGGGGGTTGACTTTGACTACTCACTACTTGTGGCTTCTGCAAGGGTCGGAAGTAGTTCATGTGATTCTGAGGAGGCCCCCTGTTCATTCCTAGTCCTCCCCCTCCCCCTATTCCTCCTACTGGACTTAGGGTGCTGTGAAGGGGTACAGTTGAGGTGGTGTACAGTCCGTTGGGGGTTCCATCTGAGGCGACATTGAATGCGCGGAAGTAGTCTAACAGGGCGTCTGAATCGATGTCTTCGTGGTGTCCGTGTGAAGCTGAGGGCGACATAGTGTTTCTATCATGGAGATCGTTTTTCATGTTGTGCACTGAATCTAACTCCGAAGGTCCACTAAAAGCATGAAATTGTTCATTAAATTTGTTGACTCAATCAACAATAAACTTTAAGTATTATTGGACGTAGTTTTAAAAAAAATATTCAGATTTTTGGCAAGCGCGTGTGCAAATTCTATCAATGTAAAACGGGCAATAAGGTTCATACCGAGCAAAAAATGTACTTATGGCTGCGGACTACATTCATTTAGAAGTAAGTGATTGTAATCTGGCTTATCAAATTCAGCTAAAAGTTATGATCGCAAGCAAAAGTTTGCCAAGCAAAAGTTATATTTAATAAATATTAAATGATCCAAAATACTAATTTCCGATTTTCCATTACGACATACTTAACATAGCCAACAGACAGTCGGAAAAGAGTCAATGATAGCAAGGAAACAAACCAAAATACTTATTTAGTTTTTGAAAAAAAACTTCAATATCCGAATTTCAAAGAAAACAATAAAAAAACGATGATTGGCGCTTTTAGATAAAAACAAACCCAATTTGAGAAATCTGGATCAATAGGTAATTTTTTTTCCGCTAGGAAATCTGAAAAATGAAATCCCTTTTCGAAATTAGTGATCTTTACACTTTTTCTGTTCGATAGTGGAGTTTTCCTTCCTTTTAACAAAGGAAATAAAATAAATAAAAACCGCGAAAAATCAAATTTGAGCGGGAAAAAGTTCCTGAAAAAAAATTAAAACTTTATCCTGAAATCAAAAACTAAATAAATAACCAAGCCCTATATAAGTGTATTCACTATGTTCTTGACTCTTTAAAACAAACGAAGCAACCGCTAAAGATAGCTAATTGACTCTACAAACTTTGAACATACGAAGATGAAGATACTAACTTGCAAAGAGGACTTTTGGTCGCCGCAGTTAACTCATCATCTCCGCCCCCTCCCCCTTCTGAATTGGGCACCATAGTTGTACTTCTGTTAGTATTCATACCCCCACCCCCACTTCTATTACTGGTGCACCCCCCTGTTGGCATGAGTTGTGGGGAGGGTATGCATGAGAGTCTGTCTTTGAGGAGGGAGTAGGCGGCTGTCTGGGGGAGTAGCATCAACAGAGAGTACATGGCCTTCACTAGGTGCGGCTGTTCACTGTCACTCATTTCTAGCATCTGTAGTCTCAGGTCTAAACACAGCTACTATTTTGTTCGATTTGGCTGTTTGCTTTTGACCTACCATTTGGTCACATTGTCACCTCATTATCTTTAATTGAGCTGGGCATTGAAGCAACACAGTTGAAGAACGAAGCAGGGCTTCGCACCACTCGAAACTTAAACATAGTCATCAGACAGTTGGTAAAGTGCGATTAACCTCAGGCAAGCTGAAAATTGACAGTTCTGTTTTCCAATTTCCAAAAACATATCCCTTTGAATCCCTCGAAAATCTTTTATGATTGAGCTTTTTCAAGAAAATTGAGAAAACTAGATTAGATTACTACTATTTATTACTCTGTGAAAGCAATCTGCACTTTTTAAATTACAGAATTTCATGTTTTCCGCGCGATCAGCGTTTTTTTTGGTGAGCATAATTAATATTCCATTTAGCAAATGAAAAAAAAAAACGATTTCTACAGAGGTGAAGCGTTGCACTGATTGCGATTAAAAACATAAGCCAGACAGAAAGACAAAGATTTGTCGGGAAGGTCGAAGTAACGTCAGTCGATGAAATCACTTCGAGTAGTTTTGCCGTTTTGTTGTGATGGAGGGTTCTTGTCAAGGCTGCACATCAACTGGTTATTTACAGGTCTGATTTGAGATTTTCTGCTTCTTTTAGTTGAATAACTAGCTGCCTTGCTTTCACGAGACTGGGGTTAAACTCATGGCTGTGCTCGTGATAAAAATCTAGAAATTAACTGAGGCAGCTGAACGGAGACTCTTTTTGATTGCGATATAGAGATATGAAACAATCCTCGGTAACTTATATTCTTAATTAGTTTTTAATCCTTCATGGGATATTTTAATTGCGTAGGCTATAATTGCATGGGCATTTGTGTCCATGGAGCTATATTGTCATGGGATATTTTGTAATAAGATATTTTTGTATGGGATGCTTAATAATACCAAAATTTTTGTAGCAATGTTTTTTGAAAATATTTAATCACGAGTTATCTGCATTTGCTTCCATTCATTTTTTGAATTTTGATGTGATTTTAAATGAAAACTATGCCTAAAAAAACGCAAAATTTGCCAGCGTTGATTTAAGGAAATCAGGCTGTAGATAGATAATTGTTTAAATGTATTCAAACTTTTGATACAGAAAGGCAAGGTTTTTGCAAGATAGTGGTTTAAAACAGGTAGAAAACTTATTTGGCAGAAAAAATACTTGCACCTTGGCCCAATAAAAAAGACATCAAAAATGACTGTTGCACTTTCGATGTCGGCCAGTATAAAATCCATTTTCGAAACTAAAGTTAGATGCGTTTTTGCGCCATGTGAACTTTTATTATTCGATAGCGCAATTTACCTTTTTAGCAAACAAATTTGAATTGAAAATACGTGCTCAATTAGCTCTTCGAAATCTCCAAGGCATAATTGTTCCTTCCGACTATTGAAAAATGCAAAGTATATATATGCTCGGGGTGGCTTTTTATTCGAACCAATTTCAAAAATCTCTGGCGCCTCGGGGATCGATCTCGTGATCTGCATGAGCCCAGCCGGGTGCGCACACCATAATAGTAATCTGCCACGAGTCTGCCTAAACCGCTCGTTTGATCACTTACACCCGTGGTGAATTATCCCGCACTACAAAATCGTTCTAAGTTGAAACGAGGCAGCTAATTGGTTTTATTAATTCCATACCCTACTCAAATTGTAATACTTATAATTTTAATATGATCAGCCTGAAATTCATAGTTTTGCTAATACTGCATATACCAAAATCTATTGAGACCAATTAAATGGCAGTAGGAACATTCAGGGTTTTGCTCTGCTACGAGTTGTCTTGTTTGGACACTAGGGCCATACAGTGCTTTTGGTGCTGCAAAACAAACTCAAAAGAAACCATGAAAATCTAAGTTAACAAGACACCAGTATATATCATCGAATTAACTTCACGTTCATTAGTTAAATTTCTTTCGTCATAGATCAGATCAGTTCGTGTAATTTTGGGTCACAAATATAAATAAGTCGACCAGTTGTACAGCCACAATGTTGACTTACAAATAACTGATCAATTCATGAATGGCTTTCACACCAATCAATCACACATCAAAATACTGAAGAAAATAAATAAATGCGCTCTCGAAACAGCAGAAGGTTTTGTCAATTGACGATAAACCCATTTCCATTAAAAATTAAATTTCCATAAAATACCTGTTTGTTTTGCATTTAGATCAGGATTTACTTTTCGAACAATAAAGAGCTGTAGTTCGATCGATCGATAAACAAGCATGCACTATGACATGGCGCATTGATTTTAAATTATTTTCTGTTAGATCAGTCAACCTGGCAATGGTATAGTGGAAGTGGTAAAAGTAGTAAGAGCACTAGTAAATTCAGGTGTCCCCTAAAATGCCAGGTCCATAATACTAAATGGATTCTTTCTCTCTTTCTTTCCATTTCAATCTTTTTATTTTTTCACTTTCTTTTTTTTTTCAATAGCTCGATTTCTTTTCATTTATTTTCGCTAATTCAGCATATTTTCCTTTTCTTTGCGGCGTGTCCAAAGCAAGGCTGTGTGGTGTGAATGAATGAATGATTTCAACTGGTACCACTACTACTGAAGGCCTTAAAGTGAGAGTACCAAGAAATACCAAAACCAATTCAATAAATACCTCCCATGACCCAGTCAGTAGCCGGTCGGGTCGGTGATTTTAATTTGAACAGGAGCAGAATTGAACAGGAGCAGAACTGAACAAAATTTCGGTCGTTTCAATTGCAATTAACGCCTCACTTAACCGAAAACAACAATTTTTTTAGACTTCAATTTTTGCTAATAGTAGGCTGGGGATATTAAGAGTAAATTTACACTCGGATGATTTTCTCAGCAATTGGAGGACTAAGCTTAGTCATTTTCAATTGACATTCAGCAGCCAGTGTCTAAATTGTCGGCGAAGTGAACACATCTTAAATTTGCTTCATTCAACAGACATTTAAGTTAGATCAATGTTCGCTTTGCATTGCGGGCTCAGATCCTTTGTCAGCATGAATTATTCAATCAAGACCCATTCTAACCAGCCTAGTAATTTTTACTACTACTAACAGTATTAGCCTCGGTAAGGTGAGTTGGTTTAAGTCCACACACAGCAGGGGGCGGGGGAGATAGAGGCTAGAACGGAAATGACAATGGGCCTCAAAAGAGGAAAAGAAACCAGATCTAATCCTACTTAGACAGAAATCTACCCAAAAGTGAGGAAATGAATAAGCAGCTATAATCCACAAATTCAACCTGCTGAAAGTGGATTGACACCCAGACACTTATGCGCAGTTTGCACTTCAAAATCTGGAAAACTAGAGAGACTGACGAGTCTTTAGGTTTTATATTTCATACAAATGACAAAATGTGTAGCTTACTTTTGCATGATCACTCGTGTTACGCGTAACTATATAGCTTTTACCAAATTTATCGGACGTATTAAATTTTTTAAATAATTCTCATCTTGAAGCGGAAGCTATTTAGAAATATTTCTTTGATTTTTCGAGTTTGCCTTTTTGTCGCCGTTTTATGTATTCATTTCAATTCAAAAATTGTTGTCAGATCACAGCTGAATGAAAATGGTTTTGAAGTTAAGGGCCTGAAAAAATTCGAAAAATCTGACATTTAAAAAAGCGCAATCATTTTGGTTTGCTCTTTCGACAGTTCAAATTCAATTTTCAAAATTCGTTTGCAATTTCAAATGGATTTTACTGTCTCGAGGTCAGAATTATTTAAACATTAATACAGTGCTGATTTAAATTAACCGGACAAAACGCATTAAACTTGAAATTTAAAACGCGTTTTTCTCAAATTGGGTTGAGTTTAGGTGAAAACAAAACTTGCTTAAAATTTTAACAGAATTAATATGGTTTAACTTGTTTTGCAAAATTCGGGCCCAAAATTTTACCCCAAAAATGGGTCAATTGGCTTTTCTTAGTTAATCAAAAATTACGCCAAAAATAACAAGTCGATCACAGATATAATTATATCAAAGTGAGCCCCTTACGTAGCCCAACAAACTTTGCGAAAAGTATATTCTCCAAAACATTGTATAAATTAATTTATTTTTGTTTGATAGACAAAAAAGGTCGTTTCTACTATATAAAATACCCACTTTTGATTTAAAAACAATTTTTAAACGGTTTGCAATTTTTTTTGGAGAATATACCGTTCACAAAGTTTGTTGAGCTACGTAAGGGGCTCACTTTGATATAATTATGTCTGTGATCGACTGGGTATTTTTGGCGTAATTTTTGATTAACTAAGAAAAGCCAAAATGACCCATTTTTGGGGTAAAATTTTGGGCCCGAGCTTTGCAAAACAAATTAAACCATATTAATTCTATTAAAATTTTAAGCAAGTTTTGTCTTCATAAGTTTTCACATAAACTCAACCCAATTTGAGAAAAACGCGTTTTAAATTTCAAGTTTAACGCGTTTTGTCCGGTTAATTTAAATCAGCACTGTACGATGTCCGAATAATTTGTTCAAAGCTACAAAAAGTCCGGACAGACAGAAATAATTAAAAAGAGCAATCGTACCATTTTGACAGATTTTTGCACGCAAATTCTTTTTTCAGACAACCCTGATACACAAAATCGGAATAAAAAATATGATTTTGCATGCAAAATTTTTCGAAATAGATCAATTGCTCTTTTTTGTCTGTCCGAACTTTTTGCTACTAATTATAACAAATTCATCGGACAACGTCTTAAAGTTTTAAATAATTCTGAACTTCAACCTGAAACTCAACCTTGTTGTGAATTAAATTGTTGCCCGATAAATTTGTGACGTAATTTGCACGCTGAGTAAGACAAGTTTCTTTCATGAAATAGAAAAAAACCAACAAAAAATTGAGAGAACAGAGAGGTAGTAGGTACAAAAATTGCCCAATTTAATTCACATTAAGGTTACGCCACTGTGTAGCATTTCCAATTATCTAATAAAAACACGCTTTCGAAATTTATTTCTAGAGACAGTAGTGAATTTAGGGGGGGGGGGGGGGGGGGTAGCGAACGCCCTTTCCTCAGGGATTCGACCCCCTGGCCCCACAAAGGGTCCCCCTGATGGTACTATTTCAAGACCTTAAAACAGCGCCAATAGATACTATGTTTAAGGAAGCGCGCGCCAAAAAACACCATTTTTTTGGTAAAAACTGTCCAAAAAACGCCTAAAAATGCCTGTTTTGGTTCGTTTTGACAGTTTTGCCTGAGGCAAAAAAAATTGGCCAAAATAGTTTTTTTTAAGGATTTGGGAGAGCTTGGAAAATCAATTTTGTTGACTTGAAAAAAAGGGGTCGACAAGGGTGACATTTTTTTGAAATTCTAACAACCATCCCCCCACCTCCAGAAAAACGTAGATCCACCCCTGCACAGAGACGAAGTTGCAATTCACAAAAAAAACTTTCAAAGTAGCTCTAAAAATGGCAAAGGAAAAATACAACTAACTATTAAAATCAACCTCTAAAAAAGAATATTTCAGACCTGGAACCCGAACCTGCTGAAGACCAGTCATTTGTCTTAACCACTTGTCTATGGGGTCTTCCTTCCTTTTTTGTATGGCTTGATTGAAAATAGCTTTAGGTTAAATGGTCATGAAGTCATGGAATATGAAAACGACTATACGGAGGCGAAGACAAAAAGCAAATTATACGGAGGCGAAGACAAGCCAATGTAAACAAGCGAATAGAAAATGAGACGGAGTTCACTAAGACGAAAATTTAATTTAGTATAATGTCAAAAAACATGTCGAGAAACAATCATTAACGTTAACAACGCATTCTGAAACAATTATGGAGCAGAAACCGAGTACATATTTTTTTAGTTAACTATTTACCGAAGGTTAACTATTTACGCGCATACTATTGGCGCATATCACCAGCACCCATTAAGCTATGACTTACTTGCAAGAGCTCACCTTGCAAATTGCAGCGCACGTGCGGTTTGAACCAGCAATCATAAGATTGCTGGACATCATCACTATCGGAGCGCCACAATGCCACATATTACTTCAGTAAACAACCGTTGAGCCAAAGACAAATTACTCTATGAAAAAATTTGAGCTATAAAGTTTTGCACTCAAGTTTTACGCCTGAAACACACAACAGCATTAAGTCTATTGTTGTATAAATTATATTTAAGACGACTAAGCCGAAACAACTTGCACGAGAAAAAAACGAAAATTCTACTAAATAAGAGTTGATAAATTTACAAATTACCACAAAACTTTTTTTACAGTAAAGATGCTTATAATAGAACGCTTAAGAAAGCAAGCAGGACATTCGTTTTGCCAAAAAAGCAATTTCTAAACTACCTCAGGATCCCATGGCAGCGTTTAAAACCAGACCAAGTCGGAAGGGGCCTTGAAATGACTAAGGTTCAATTTCTTACAGAATTGTTAAAGCTGTTTAATGAAAACAAAAGTCTTGTTCAATGGAAACAAAAGTCTCTCGCAAGTTGAAGGAGATTAAAGTTTAGAAAACTTATGCAATTGAGCCAAGCAATTTAATCAAAAGCTGTCATCAGAGAGACTAATTTGAACCTCCTGATAAAATTATATTTAAAAAATAAATAAATAAAATGATATAAGAATAAAAAAAAATCATTAAATAACAATTAATAAATAATAGTAAGATAAAAATTTAAAAAATAATAAAATAAAAATAAAAATACAGATGCGAAGCTGAGCTTCGCACCACTTGCGATGCAATACTCGAAAACAATGGTCGAAAAAACTTCAAAAAAAAAGAAAAATAACGTTTTCCAAAAATTCTGTCGACCTGTTTTTAAAGTCGATCAAATTGATATTCCGAGCTCTCTCAACGCACAAAAAACACCCTGTTTTGGCCAAACTTTCTACGTCGCAGGCAAAATTTTGAAAAAGTAGGCCGAAAAAATTGTTTTTAGGCACTTTTTTTGAAAATTTTGACCACAAAATGGCGTTTTTTGGCGCACGCTTTTCCTTCAAAATTAGTATAAATTAGAAAAATTTTAGGGTCCATCAGCCAGAAATGGATATCTCAAAATAGTACAAAAGGGTACGCTTTGGGTCGGCAGGTGGTCGAATCCCTGAGGGGGGAGAGGGGGGTCTGCCCCCCCCCCCCCCCCCTAAATACGCCCCTGACTAGATCTAATCTAGAAATCAAAAACAAATTAATAAAATAGATTAAAAAAATTACCATCGCAGAACTTGACAGGCGGTAAAAAAAAAAATAACTGAGCGAAACCCTTAAAGCCAAAAAAATTTTAAAAATCGGAAAAACGCACACACACGCTCATCAAGCCAAGTAATATGAGGCCACTAAGCCGATGTAGAATATGACGAAACCTAATAAACCGAGAAAAAGAAAAGGAAAAACAAACAAAAATGACATTTTAACAAGCCGAGTTGGTTAAATTACGACAAACATAAGAAAAATATCTCAGTTGCAACAGAAAAGCCTAGATTAGGCATAAATAGGCTTGCTCGCTCGCATTACTTAATCGAACTTAGACTAAATATTTAAAATTTCAAACCGGTTTTTCTGGATTCCAGAAAAAAATTTTGGGAATTTTATGTGGCTCGAATCACGACTCAGAGGGCTTTACCTTGATATATCACTCAACCCAGTCCGATGATTATTAGAGGAACCTGATTTTGCATGAAAAACAAAAGGAAAAAAACAAGGATAGCCGGTTACTGTGCAAGTAGCACAATGTTCCGACCATAGTCTTTCGAAAACTACGGTTAAGAAAGTTTTTTTTTCAAATTAGTGGAGTTTTTCTGCTTCGTGTGATAAAAGGATCTGACGTAAAAGTATAGTTTAGGCAAATTAAACAGTCATAGTAATATAGACAAATTAGACAAAAATTGTTAAAAAATGACAAGAAAAACTAAAAAAAAAAAATTTTCAAAACTTTTCGCAGAGATATTGAAATTGTTGGTTCCCAAAATGAAGCTAAAAAAATTCCAAAAGTTAGTTTAAGTGCTTAAAATTAAGTTTTAAGGTCTTAAATTATGCATAATTCAGCTGTTGTAAGCCTGCTCGCTTGCTTTATTCGCTCGAATTAAGACGAAAAATCAAAAATTTCGAACCGGGTTTTCTCGACGCTGGGATTTCAAAATTTTTTTAATGTGGTTCGAATCAGGACTGTAAGGCCTTTAATATGATTTGCCACTCAAACCAGTCCGATGATTATTTGTGGTACCTAATTTGCGTGGAAAAAAAAGAAAAACTAAAACATCCGAATACAAAGTCCATCCCTATTTTCAATGGTCGAAACAATAATGGAAAATTAGCTTAGTTCAATAGCATATCTATTTTCGTCTAGTGCAGACTTTCCTTGTCAAATTTGAATAAACCAAAAAAATTCTTGCTATCATATTAAATTTCTCTGTCATGATTCTGAAAGCAAAATAGATAGTTCTGTAATAAAGAAATTTTCCACATTTTTGAAATATTAAATTTTAGGATAATTAGGATTAGCGGAGGAGAAAGAGGGTGGGTAAATTCAATTTTTATGTCAAGTTAACCTCAGCGTAACTAACAAATAATGTACAGCTTATGAAATTATTGCGGCCGTAAAGAAACATACAATTCACCTTCAACTCTTCGCTTTAATTGGTCTGAGAAAAAAATATTCATAACGTTTTTTATCTCGACACCGCAAAACATATAATATATCACTCGACCCTATTACAAAAATTGTACTAAGCATCTTTAATGAGTTGTGAACAAGCAACTGGATCATATAAAAAACCAATTTTTTTTTTTTAAACTCGAATTCGAGCCTAGACCATGGCACATGTTTTGGCTTAAATCTACAGCAATTACTTACAGCATGCAAACCAAATTTTATCGAACTTGAGATCGAGCTCCATATCTGCCACTTTTAGGCAGAGAAAAAAGAAGCTTTGCTGCAGATTATTGCGCAGTGCTGCAGCAACAAAACTGAAGCCTCTCTTCGAACTTCTTTTGAATCTCCTTGCAGCCTTTTGCAGGTAAAAGTTTTAGCAGGTGACCTTTTGAAAATGCTCAACTAAGTCATGTATAGTTTAACTGTTGCACATTAATGAAAATGAAGAGGTAGTTGACTCACTGGCGAAGATGGGACTCTCTAGCAGCTGTACTAATTTGTCCACTTCATTCAGGATGTCCACGTCTATCTCCAGTGAGCCGAATAGGTGGAGTAGTCTGCACGCGTGTCTGTACTTGCCAGAGAGGAGACAGAGAGAGACAGCAGCTACTGGACATAGACACCAGGTGCGGTATACACACGTGAACAGATCTCGAGTGTCCTGAAATTCTCACTACTTTTACATTTGGATAAAATTATACCGAGAAACTTATGATATTACGATTTCATGAAATTTATGAGATTTACTATTTTTTTAAAAACTATATTAAATGAAGCGGTTGCATTGATTGTTACTTTGTATTTTCTATTATGATTTTTGATATTTTGGAAAATTCTAATTCATAATTTATGGAAAAGGAAGATGAAAATTGGTACATACGGGCAGTTTAAAGTGTTTCAACTCATCCCTCAAATGGTACAGTTCGTGTGTGGTCATGAGGATAGTGTTGAGTAGGTTGACCATCTTAGACACAAACTGTCTATCCTGTCCATCCTCGTGGTGTACTGCAGTCACTCTCAGAAGGAGCAGTTCGGACAGCGTGCGATAGACGTCACGGGCAGACAATAGGGCACACAGATTCCTACAACACACCATCATCATCATCCTCAATTATTTTTAGCAACCTCATCATATAATTATTGAAAATATTGGAGCTTTAAGTCCAGAAGAATAAAGCCTGCTTTAATGTGAGCTAGATTTCCATTAGAAATTTTAGCAGCTGAATGAAAATTTCCAATTAAAGAATACATTTATACAAAATCAACAGGGAAATAAATTTTATGTAGGAGGTTAACGACGAAAAAAATTCTTCTCTATAAGTCTACATTAGAGTTGGGAATTTTACGACGAAATATGGCAAAAAAAGACTACGATAGACCCTAGCGAAAATCCAAACTGAACTCACTCAGAGCAAGGAAGCTGCTTCAAAATTTTGACAATCAAGAAAAAGAAGTACACAGACGCGCGATGATTTATCAAATTAAAATGTGCCCAGCATAATGGAGTCTACTCTTTTCAAAAAACGTTACGAGTCTACGTTCAAAAAACGCATAAGTTAACAAAAAACGTTACGAGTCTACTCAACAAAATATAATTCAAAACAGCATTTTCTCTGTTCTCGAAAATTTCATTGCAAATCTTTTTAAATTACTTTTTGCAGAATTGAGAGAAACTGCGTCTACATCTTTTTTGAAAATATATGACATAACACAACGGACATCAACTCGTCAAACCGCAAGAAATCTTATCCCATCAGTTTTTTCACGTAATAAAATTGGAGCGCAGGCGCTTAAAATTAGGTTGAACGTTGCATATAGCTCTGGAAAACAAAATGAATTGATTCCTCAAAATATAAAAACATTTTTTCATCTAGAATTTACATGTTTCTTTCAAATCTTTTTCCATAAACTACGTTTTTGATAACAAGCAAATGTTTGAGTTGTTTTTTTTTAAGTAGAATTAATCTATCTCACTCTCACCCTTTAATCAACTCCTCTCTTTCTACGCTCTCATGACACCTAAATGAGTAGAACTCTTTCGATTGTTCCCTCCAGGCAGTGAATTTACTATCTACTGCCTCTGGCAAATTCAAATATTCAAGTCTTTTTTCGTGCAAGCTACAGAATCTTGAAACGGAGGCGAAGTTGCATTTCGCATACAAGCAACAATATGACCGATAACGCTACTGGGAAAAACCGAATGAGTAAAACTTTGAGTCTAAAAAATTTCTTAAGAGACGCACGCCAATTATGAGTCTACATAATTGCTAAGTGGCGCAAGCCAATTATGACGCATAAGCAGTACCAGTCAACTTGAAAAAAAAAGAAATTTACCAATTAACATGCCTCAATTTATAGAGTGGACGCATTTTAAGTAGTATCAGAAACAGTTCATTTAAACATCCGACCCTGCCCAGGTTCGAACCCTCTTATTATGTTGCTTGTCTCCTTCCCTACCTCTACGCTACAGACCCATGATACCTTGAAGCTAAAGTGCTATTTGTAATATAATAGTCTGAGTTAATATCTTTAGCATTGGGTGTACTTAATAGCTTGATCAAAATGAACACAATTTGTCGCAACAAAATTTGCGAATTAGGTTTGAAAAAAAGAGTTCATACTATAACACAAGCTATGCTTGTGTAATTACACTACATTATGATTTCTTCAAAAAAATCGGGCAAAATACTCTTTGCCGCTAAATTGTAATTTTATAAGATCTTAAGCTTTAAGCCATATCCATCATTACCAATCATATCCATAAACAAATTCATATCACAGCAAAAAATGACCAATTCTGAATCGATTTCAAGTGAATTCTAAAAATGCAAAATTATCTCAAAGAACTATCGTGTAGGTTTTACAGAAACTATAGTGTCAGATTTCTCTAGAGCGCACATCTACTTTAGTCGGTATGTTTCTTCGAATATATATGTTCTTAAATAACAAACCTGATGATGAATAGTCCGTGTGACCTGTCCAGTTCTGTTAAGTCTGGATAAGCAGCGAAGCTCTCGAGAAGTCTGCGGAGGAGTGATCGGAAGTAGACGTTCCTCTGGGAGGGACAGGTGATGTCCGAGGAGGTCTCCAGAGGAGCTGCAGCTGAGGAGGCAATCTCTGCTAGCACTTTCAACACTTTCTCATGCACCTGATCAATAAAAAAATCTCCAGTGATTCAAATTTGCGATCAAAAAATAACTATGCTGGTGTTTTGCCAACTTGGTAATAATCGTAAAAAAAACACTACAAATCGGAGGTCGTCATGAGGTAAAAAAAAACTATTCCATGAGCTTAATTTGTCCAAACTCGTCTTGTTGAACACTTCAAAAGAATCACATGGCCACAAAATCATGAAAGTGAAAATAATCGAAACGTCAACATCCCTATTCGACCCTGTCTGATAATTCATTATTGAAATTAAATTCGAGTAGCGATCAATCGTTAGGTGATTAACGATTCTTGATAAGCACAAATATTGGCGTGATCTACTTGACAAGGATTAGCATAGTTTGCAGTTGTTCTATATTGCTCTTCAAAGTGTGGCCTTGGGTCTACTTACCGTGGAGTGGTGCGGCGTGTCCCTGTGGTGGAGGTGTGAGGAGGCGGTGTCCCTACTGCTGTGGTCCCTCTCTGAGGCGGAGGAGGGGGTGCGCACCAGGGCTATCAGAGTGGGGAAGATGTTCTCTGTGCAAATGAACATCTAAACACAACAAACAATCACAAAATCATCCTCACATCAGATCAAAATTCAATATGATTTTCATACAAGTCATCAGTAACATTTCTCATTTTTATATCAATAATGTATGCCGAACACCGTTAAGCTGCTGTCTTTTTAGATCAACATTTAACCATTCTCAAATTGAGGCTCATAGCGTCATGATGTTCTATAGACTTCAAATGCATACATAGATTTGGGGAAATAAAAAAATGCTAGAAGAAGAAGAATTTATTTCTCCATATAGTTGATAATACAAGCATCAATTTATTTAAATTATTAAATCAACAAAATGGAGGGGATAGACAAAAGGCGCAGTATGTGCCTACTTGACGTCTACCCGTTGAACAAATTATGATTGCAACTAAGTAATAAAGATAAATTTACATTCGAATAAATATAGGATTGTGGAGAAAAATTTATTTTTCCCCTAAAATGCTCATTAAACTTACGACTACTAATCCTCGTTATCTTTCACACCAAGTGCATGCTATTTATAATTTGTCTGTTGAACTAAAACACATAATGTCAAACCCACACCTTTTTCACTGAATATTAAAATCTGCAATACTGTCATATACTCTTTTACAAAAATTAATTCTGGTATGACTTCATAGCATGTAACCTGAATACATCAGCTCAAATTACAAAAAGTGACAGCTTAGTTACACCCAGTTAGGTGTCTTATAGTGACTCAGAGGACAGGAGTGTGTTACCTTGTGGGGCACTGTGGAGTATAGCTTGAAGAGCCAGTCGAGACATGCCTCCTGGGTGGGGATGAGTTTATTCTGGCCCTGGTTCTGGTTGATCAGTTGGGCCAAAGTGTCCACAGTATCCTAAGACATGGCCAACATATTGAGCCAATAAAAATATCAGTTAGCCTTCAGTTGGAAAAAAAAGAGTCAATGAACGCAATTAAACAAAAAAAATACTCACTTGTTTTTGAATTTCAAACAAAAAATGGCCTTAAAGCTCTCTGAATTTCAGGAACAATTTATGATCGACACTTTTTCGATAAAAATAACAAAAGTTGAAAAAAAAACTGCATCAATAGGTAAAGATTTTTTCCGCTAGAAAATCTGAAAATTATAATCCAGTTTCGAAATTAAAAGTCGATCACGTTTTTCGTGACCCTTTCACTGGCCGGAGCATTATAGGCTAATTTCACAAAGACTGGCTGATTTTTTGTTCATCAGTAGCAGAATGTAAGAAAGCGAAACTGACCTTGACATCTAGCTGGACATGATGGGAGTGTGGATGTATGGCCTGTGGCGCATGGACTGGATGAGGTACTAGTCTGGTGGACTGCTGCTGTTGGCTGTGATGTTGGTCAGAGTGATGTTGCTCCACTGCTCCGATGCCAAAGGTGACCAGTGTGGGACCATTGCTATCTGGACCTCCGGGTCTGGAGCGAATCCTGAAACGAACGAACAAACTCGGATATATAGTTCAAATAGAGGCTTACTCACATCCTGAGTCAAACTGAGCCAATCATGACATGCATCATTTAGAGTCTATCTGGGAAACATAAACAGAGTCCACAACACAATGAGCAACAGCACATTGTAAAATTAACACATAGGCGATGCTTTGCTTCGCAAACACTAACGAGAAAACGACAAAAGCACCTCTATAAAATGCAATAAGAAAAAGTAGAAATAGCCTCGAATTAGTAAAAATTCAGATACATCTCTTCTCTGATTCGAACCTATTACACACTGCAATCTAGAAATTAGGAGTCTCACGCACTAACTACTCAGCCACACACGCTCAAATACTAGTCACACATAAAGCAGAGAACAGATGCTATGGAATTTGCAATGCTACAGTGAAAAAACCGTATAAGTTAACACTTTTTGTATGACTTAGGTTAGAAAAAAAGAAGGTTCGTACTAATACATTAACTGCCGGCTAGTGTGATAAACGAAATTACGAGTGCACGTAAAGTTGAAGTTTCTAACTCTAGGAACCAAGTCTATTCATATACTCCATATTTCTCTAAGTCTCAGACGGACTTAGTAATTAAGCATAACTCTCAATAAATAAATATATATTGATGTGCAAGTCCACTTATGTTTTTTACAGTGTGCCCAGAGCAGACAGTTATTTAAAGCAGAAAACGAGTGCTCGTTTTGTTCAGCTCTAAACGAAGTTATGCTCCATGGTGTTTTCTATGTGGATACTAACTGTTCTAAACTGTCCTGATCGTCGATTGAGCTGGAAGACACTGACGTCAGACTCTCGGCAACTCCCCCTCCCCCTCCCCCTCCGCTGTGGTTGATGTTGGCTGCCCCAGTGTGGTTTGTGATGACCTGGAGAGATGTGAAGTTACCCGCTGCTCCTGCACTTCCCGGCGATGTGGTGACCATTCCCATTCCCATTCCCATTCTGGAGTCTGGCGCATCGTCTGCTTCTGTGATTAGATGCTGCAAGTCAGAGTTCACCTAAGTACACAAACATGCTCAACACTTTTTGCTCAAACATGACAAAATTAAGAAGTAGTAAGTAATCCTGTGAGCTTCCGTATTGATAAAGTCGAAACATTGCTTATCCATTGTATGATTTTGTTCACTTACTCCAAGTTCCTTTGAGGATTTTCAGATCAAAGCTCAAGAAAAATTGGCTGTTGTTTCTAGTCTCCAATGAGCAACAAACAATGTTCTTCCAACTCCTCTTCTCTTACCTCGTGTGCCAGTCTGACTAGTTCGGCTGTGACTGACTCTGTACTGAGTGAGAGGATGGGGAGGATGGCCTGGAGCATGTTGGACAGGAAAGGGAGCATCTCCCTGCCAGCACACTTGACAAACTCACTCTGCCACAACAACGCCATCTTCTGCACTCGAAGTTCTACAGCACACATAATCAGAGGAGAATATTTTATGTATGGTGCAAATTCTATTACAGACAAAAAACAGTATGAATTTCCACAGATGCTTTCCATTTTGTGAAGTGCTCGCAACAACCATTTCATCTTTAAATAAGGCATTATCAATCTTCTATTAAAATTTTATAAAATTATAGCGGTGAAACGTTTAGTAGGATGATTCTCCAAAAACGGCAGCCACTCTAAATAATCTTTAATAAACAGAAAGCAATTTTCAGTTAATGAAAGCTAAAAACAAGTGCTGCTGCGGCGTGATGTAAAACCGTGTTGAGTGCAATAGCAAACCTCGTGCTCGATTTGCATGGCCGATTGCTGTCAATTGGTCGAAGCCGAAATAAGCTGAAAATGAACCACAAGAATAATCAAACAAAGCAAACAGACAGTTGGAAAAAAGTCAGCGAGGGCAAGTAAACAGAAAAAAGACTGACTTAATTATTCAGAGAAAACTTCAAAATTCAAAGAAAAAAATAACACTGCCTCAAGGCTCTTGAGCTAGACACGGAAAAAAATAGCCAACGGACAGTTGGAAAAGAGTCAACAAACGCAAGTAAACAGAAAAAAACTTACCCAAACTTTCAAAATTCAAAGAAAAAAATAGATGGACTAGAAGCTCTTGGTTCTAGAACAATTTATTTTTGACACCTTTTTGATAAAAAGTAACTCACTCAATTTGAGAGAACTTGATCAATAGATGAAATTTTTATCCCGCTAGGAAAACTGAAAAATAGTATCCACTTTCGAACCAAGAAGTCGATCATGATTTTAGTGACCTTTAAACTTTTGCGGTTCGATAGTGGATTTTGCCTTCTTTTGAACTAAGGAAATGAGCTGAACTCAAAAAATGAACTCAAAGGTCAAACCGCGAAAAATCGATTTGGAGCGTGATAAAAAACATTGCGACCTTACGTTCATCGCATCTTAAACATCACGATTTACTTTCGTCGTCTCTTAATAATGCAATAATCAAACAGACGCAAAGCTGTATTTCACAAACTCAAGCCACAAAGGAAATGAGCTGAACTCAAAAAATGAACTCGAAGGTCAAACCGCGAAAAATCGATTTGGAGCGTAATAAAAATTTCACGACTTCATGAAAAAAAAACATCACCATTTACGTTCATCGTCTCTTAATAATGTAATAATCAAACAGACACAAAGCTGTATTTCGCAAACTCAAGCCACAAAGCGCCAAAATGTGACTCTAAAAATGAGTTGAGAAAAAGGCAAAAACAAGCTTGGCTCGCATCACTTGCCATACCAGAAAAGCGTAGCATTGCAAGCTACCAAATAAAGAGTGAGATAAAAATAAATAGGTTTAAAAAACTTCAACAATTTTTTGGAAATACGAAAAATTCATTCTCCGAAACACAGATGAGAAGTACAACCTCTAGCTTTATCCAAAATTTTAGTATTTTCTGAGCCTTCACTGAGGCAAAAACACGTGGTTAGACGCCAATTGATCCGAAAACAAAAATGCCACATGAAATTGTTGTCATGAAAAATTCAAGTATTTTCTTGAAAACATGAAAAAAAACAATATCAAAAAAGCATGCGAGAAACACAACCACCAGTTTTTAACAACTTTTCTTCTATTTTCCGAGCGTTCACTTAGCCAACGACACATAATTAGACAAAATTGATCCGAAAACAAAATGCCAGAGGAAATTGTCATAATTAAAACCGATCCAGAATTTAAAACCGATCCAGAATAATTTTACTAAACCGACAAAACATGAGCCGAAAATATTCAAACCGAATAAAATTTCTAAACCAAAAACAACAAAAAATGAAAAACATACCATTCAGGGATAGAAACTTAAGAACTACAAGCGTTCATCAACGAAACTTGAGACTTTAATGAAAACTGCTCAAAGCGCAACTAAGCCAAAGTCGTGGTTTGGCCACTAAGGCCGACAAAACATAAGCAGACGAACTATAGTCAGACTACTCAATTTTTTCTGAAAAAAAATTGTAACATACATGAACTTTAACATTCACCTTCGTAAGTAAAGACATTGAACTTTGATTAGTGGCGTTATGTTGATATTAATAAATAGCGTGATGTAAAGTAAAGTTCATGGTATGTTAGATGCTAATCTTGTCAATACTGTTTGAGAACACAAAATTATAATCAGCCACCAAAACCAGGCGAATTAACTTTGAATTAAAGTTTGCAATCTCCGTTTTCAATAACATCAGGGAAAGTCGGACGACGGACTAACAACACGCATTCGAAAAATAAATTCAATTAAATAAGAGCTCAAATCAATGCAATACCATTGATACGCGATAAAAATCAATTTCAATCACTGAAAACAGCCAACGGACAGTTGAAGACTCAATAAACGCAAGTTAACAGAAAAACAGATTTTAAAAAAATGCAACTTTCAAACTTCAAAAAAAGATGGCCTCAGAACTCTTCAAATTTTTAGAACAATTTATGATTGACACTTTTTTGATAAAATTAACCCAATTTGATAAAAACTGGACAAAAAAACTTCTTATTTCGCTGGGAACAAATTTTCCTGAAAAAACCGTAAAAAATCATCGAGACTTATATAAGAGTAGGAACTGCCTTCATCAAATCTTAACAAGGTACAGCCGGGATTCGAACCCCAAACATAAGGGTTCAAAGGCGACGGCGTTACCTCTAGGCTATGTGCGAAGGAACCTCAAAGTTGTTAAGATTCAGTTAAAAAAATGAAAATTTGTAAGAAAAGTTGTTTACGGGGAAAAAACAAATTCTAGTTCTCGATTACAATACACTTGCTGTCGCAAGTGTCAATATTAAAGCTATCTCCATGCGAAGGAATCGAACAGCACCTAACATAGAGACTCTTAGGTCCTCCTATCTCCGACTTCTGCTCGTTAATTAACTTAACACTTACCGCCAATAACGCGGATAAAAATGGAGCAAAAATAACACAAAATGAGCACCACTTTTAGCAAGTCGGATTGGAAAAAAAACTTTTTTTTTTCGTAATATACAGTGACTCTTTATGATCCGATTGCAATTTTTTGCACAGAAAATATCTTCCGATTAGTTCAATTGCAAAACAGCAGGTGCTGGAAACAAAGCAAGAATTGACTATTTTTTTTCTAAAAAAGGAAACCTGTTATCCCTAGGAGTGGCATTTTATAGGCTATACTCACGGTTTGGTTTTGAGTGGTAGACAATTGTGTTGACCATGGATGCATACTGGACACTCTCCGGTCTCTCCCTCACTTCATTCAGGAACTCCTTCAGACATTCCTCCGTCGCCTTGTACACCACTTCATCGTCTAGAGCCAAGAACCCGAACAGACCTTCCAGCAGTTGGGGCAGGTACTTCAGTAGGTGTGAGTTCGGACGACTGTTCAGCGCCACTATCTATAAAAGATACAGAATGAATCAGTTCTCAAATTAAATATTTCTGTACTATCAATTTATAGATTCGTAAAAACGACTTTTCCTAAAACCTCCATTTTCAAAGAACGTTTAAGACAAGTGATTTTGCTGATTTATACCAATTTCTTGAAATTAGGCGTGTTACATTTATATACATTCAAAAAATGGATTTTGGGACTTATTTAAGATCACTATTACAAGCCGGAAGATCTACACTTCAGCTTGCTAATTAGGACCAATTCAAAGAGCTAAAAACTACCAAAAAATGAATTTGTACTTTTTTTCAGTAATAAAACAAGAGATCAAGGATTTTTACGGTGTCCGGTCAATAAGACGACAGCTGTTACAGGGTGGCCACAGTTTCTGAGAAGTCGCAAGCACTGACGGCACTGATACTCGCACTGATGAAAATAAATGCCAGGCACTGATATTTTCTGAAAAAAATAGCCTTTTTTTGGCTTTGCTACCCAACTTTTTTTCATTGGCCGAACTCATTGGCCCACTTTTTTTTCAACTAAATTCTTCTCAGAGCTGCTCATACTACTTGAAAAAATCTTATACTGTGTAAGCCTGCTTAGGTTTTTGATTGGCATTGATAATCATTTGCTGGCCCTGATATGGCACTGATAGATCACGCTTTGCACTGACCGCACTGACACCGGGGCCACCCAGAATGCGCGTGCATCGTCGTCTTAAAGTCCCATCAAAAGCGGTTGTCGTCTTAAAACTTGGTGGCCACGTTATCAGGGCGGTCAGTGCCAAATCAGTGCCAGTTCTTTTCATCGCGCTTCTCTAATGAATCATTGAAAATCAAAAATCGAAGCAGGCTTACACAGTAAAAGATTTTTTTTCAGGCAGTATTAGAAGCTCCGAGAAGAAGATAGTTGGGTCAAGAAATTGGGCCAATGAGTTCGGCCAATGAAAAAAAAGTTGGGTAACAAAGCCAAAAAACAGGCTATTTTTTTTTTCAGAACATTTCAGTGCCTCGCACTTATTTTCATCAGTGCGAGTATCAGTGCCTGCGATTTCTCAGATACTGCGGCCACCCTGAAACTGTAATTCTGAGAAATATAATTGGCTTAAATTCGAACACTTCATTTACATGTTTGAACTCTCATTTGTCGTGTTAATGACTTGTCGTCTTAAGTAGCTAGGACCAATTTTTACTGACCCATTTGACGAGGAACAGAGCGATTTGTTTGTCGTTGCTCTTCAGCTTGGCGGTGAGCATGGGGACAAATGTGATGACGTCGAACTTATCCACATGTTCTGCCACTGTGTCTTGCATTAGTTTATCCAGTAATTCTGTCCCATTCCTCACATTAGCATCTTCATCTGCTGCCAGCTGGAACAAGAAACGAGCAGTGAGCAAACTCTTGTTTGGAAACACTCAATTGATTGTTTCAGGGTTGCGGTTGTTAGTGGCCCTTTAAGTTATCAACTCTTTGCAAGAGATGATTGTCTTTCTAGTTTAACCGTCATTTAACAGAGTCTCATACTCATATGCTTTGTCTGAGACAGATCTTCCAAAAATTACATTGGTATACTGAAACTGGTATATATTTTACCGAAAATCAGATTCCTTTTTGAAACGAACGATTGTTTATTCAACAATAACCATGATTGAAATTTGAAAAGCAGCGAACTGCACACCAACATGAAATCATGTTTGTCTATCAATATGAAATATAGACCTCCAAAATAGACCAGAACAAAAACCTCTTCTGTGACGGCTATTGAACTTACACTTCAAAAAAATCAATTATTTCACCCGCTATTTGATTCCGATCTCCCTTACTTTTCACCTATATTTACAGTCAAGTACACTTCTGGTGAAAAAAATGAAATAAAGCTTTGAAAAATTCATTCGCTGCTCATTCTAACACTAACTTTCAGCCGCTCGTCGGTGCAACAAATGTTTGAAAGTATACATATTCAACTAAGGCGTCACAAATAAATCAGAGCAGAAATTTTATAAAAACAAAATTTTATTCGATTTCCGTATACATTAAGCATTTTTTTCAAAAAACAATTTTTGATTCTGCTGGAAAACATCGTCCCCAAATATTTCGCCGTTCGATCAACCATGATCAGCAAAATAATCTGAACAAGGCCTTAAAAATTGTTCAGCCAAATACAACAAAAGTGATTGTCAATAGAAGCAAATCGGCTAAAAATAGTAACAATGTGAGACCCTTTAGATGTTGAGGTTGAATCCCTAAAGGATAGGGTCAACCCTTAAATCTATCCATTCTTCAAATGCTGACATCATAAGGCTGCTCAAATTGGTTGTACCTTACAAAGTCCGTCGAATATCTTTCCCACGTGGGGCATGATGTGGGCTCTGGCCACCTTGGAGATGTTGAATAGAGCCTCACAGCCATAATACCTCACACGTGGGTCCTGGTCATTGAAGCAATCCACCACAGGGTTGATAAGACTAACAAGGTGCACGTGAACCTAAGCAACAAAAAACATGAACAAAATATCAACATTTTTATAGCAATTACAATCATATCATATTATATTTCCATAACGTATTGCAATTGCTTAAAAAACCACCAATGAATCGACAACTCCTATTTCAAATTTATCTGATTTCAAGAAACTCCTCGAATAATTCCGTATTGATGAGGTCAAAAACAAACTAGCAGTCAATAGTCAATTCTCAACTAAACCTTAACAAAAATTTACGATCAAACCGAACTTACTTCGGCGTAGAGGAGCAGCTGCTAATAGAAAACGAAGCATATTCATCTGGTGTTAAAATGCAGTGAGTATGTTGTGAACTTATAACAGGACAAAAAGAAGAGACTGAAATAACGTGAGGACGTTTGTACGTTACAACGACATAGAATGAGCCGCACTCACTTCTTTGTATCCAAGGGCAATCGCAGTGGCTGCTAGACCTATGAGGCCTCCCTTTCTAGTGTGTGGATTGCTGCCTCTATATAAATACTCTTTTTGAAGGCATGAAATGAGCATCTGCACATAATTCTTGCACTGATTCGGGTGTTCTGTGCTCACCCAGCCGCGCACTAGCCTAAATGAATCATAACGCCATCAATTAATGCAATATTTATACCTAAAGACAGCAATGGGCATTTAAAACAGCTAATGAATTTAAATACCGTATTTCTAAATGAACAAAACAAAACTTCAAACGAAAAAATTCTGATCATCCAAAGCATAAGCACAAATAAAAGTACATCATAACAGAAGCGTATTAGATTTTTCAGAGATGATGAAGGCCTCCTGATTAAGAACTCATGTCAAGCATTATGACACAGATATTGTTTGAGCTTAAGTGCTTGAAAATACAAAAGTGTTATAGCTTTTGTCTTGTCTGCAGTGGCGCTTGTTATTTCGGTCAACGGTAAAACGTCTTGAATGGGTTGAGTCGGTGGTCAAGTTTTAAGTGAACGAAGATTCATAGGTCCACACTGCGGTCTTCGCTGGGATACTTCTTGGCAGCAGTGGGCCCCGATTCCGTAACCTCAGTCCACCGTTGATTCTGTTTTTTTTTTTTAAATTTACATCGTACCTACTCACTATAAGGCCTTCCTGGAAGAGTGTTTAACATTTCGCCGATAACATTCCCACCTTCTAGAGGCGGATAACATAGTGAGCTGATCGGCTTCGTCGGCTGTTTCATTGAAGCACCAAGCTTTTAAACGTGGTAATGCTTTAATAATAGTGCTATGGTGACCAAATTTCGTTTTTTCTGTATAGGTGAAAGACCTCGATGAGGACGTGAACATTATTCATAGTTGAGACTAAGAGCCAAAGTTGAGACGAAACGAATAAATTAGCGACTTCGACGGTCAGCGTCAAAGAGAAGATAGTCAAGGGGTATGGTGTAAGGGAGAGGTATAATGTTGATTAGTTTCATGGTTGAAAATGGAGCACTTAGGGGATACTGGCTGGGATAGTTCGATCGAGTCTGTTGAGGTAATAGTTTCGAATGAAGAAAAACAGGAGCGGAGTGTTGCTAGGCTACAGCGGGCCCAGCAGTTGAGTTTGAATCTGGTTTCAAAAATTCACGCGTGCTGCATTTTCTAGGTTTATTTTTTCGGCCAGGATAGTTGTTTAGATGACAACTCGATTAGTTCTGAACGAGATATATGTATAAGGATACTGATAATAATTTGCATAGTGTATGGACGAACGTTGAGAAGTGCGGAGGAGGCCATTGTTTGTTCATTTTGTAGCACGTGTTATCAAGGCACATGGCTGCATTTTTCAAAGTTTAATAACTTTTGAAAAAATTTAGCTAACTGCATGTGACAAAACTGGGTCGCTTTAATTGGATTGGTTTGATCAAGGATTTAACATGTTTAACAGTTTGTCGTTTTTGTTTCTTTAGGTCCGAGTTGGTTTCACGCGGGATTTTTGCATTGAACTTCTTAGTCTGTTTCAAGTGGCTTGTTCCTTGTAGTGGTTGGACTATTTCAGGAATGGATCTAAATTATTTCCGAGTAATTTACTGAGGGGTCCGAGCAATAGTTCAGTGCTTTGAATTTTGACATGGCATGGGTTTTATAGTCTCTACCTCGGGAAAAAGAGAGTGGCAAAGCATTTTGTAGAAATTTCCAGGTGAATTGTTGAAAAAAGTAGAAAATTTAGTCTAGATAGAGAGGAAGGGTAAGGCTCAAAATTCCAAGCTCGGCTATCTATATTAAATTTGTATGATATGCAATTGGTTTGGGGGGCGGAGAAAGTGTCGAGAAAAACTGGGGTAAAATTGTTTGATTTTTAGCTCAATTTCGAGCGAAAAACGCGATCGAGTAACGTTCGTTATATGGAAATTAATTATAATTTTTTTTCTAATCATATGCTCACAAAACTTGATTTAACTATCAAGAAAACTAGTTTTGGAGGTTTCTTTCAGCGCTTAATTGACAATATAAATTTTCAAAAAAAATTATTGTACAAAAAATAAAAAATTATTATCATGTTTTGTTTGGTGTTCATTTTTTGAAAACAAATTTTGTTGATCATGCCTAAATCGCTAATTCTCTACGCGATCGTGTAGGCATAGTTTTAGAATCACATCACCCACTAAAAACGACACTAATTCGGATAAAATTTTCTAAAAAACTCTAATTTTGCAATGAATCACTTTACACTCTCGAAATTGGACTGGAACTCAAAAATTTGGTTTTCCTCACCACTGGGAGAAAAACCAACTCAAACTGGTTATTCTCACCACTGGGAAAAATTTATGGACAATTAGAATCATGACTGAAAAGGCTTTAATATGATATATCACTCGACCCATTCGAATGATTATCTGTGGTAGCTAATTGAGCGTGAAAAAAATCTAAAACACGCGAATAAAAAGTTCCTCTACATTTTTCAAATGGTCGGAACAACAAGATTTACCGGTTGCTGTAAATTTCTGCCCACAGCTATTTTCAAACAATTTTTTTTCAGTTTGAGTTACTTATTTGTTTCCAGCAAAATTTGTTTCCAGCAAAAAAATGTTTAAAATTTCGATAACATAAAATGACAACGAGTTTTATAGCTCAATTCAGGGCTCTTCGCTTTAAGTGATTCAACTTGATTTAAGAAGCAAAATTTAAAACAGGTTTTTCTCGACACCGAGAAAAATTTTCTGGTTCAATCAAACGACCTTAATATGATACATTACTTGAACTAGGGGCGGATTTAGGGGGACGTCTTTTTAGTGCTTTGGGAGAGCTCGGAAAATCAATATGGTCGACCTAAAAAAAACAATCAGGTCGAACAATTTTTTGAAAATCCCCCCCCCCTCACGAGAAAATCCTAGATCCGCCCCTGACTTGAACTATTACGATGATTATTTGTGATAACTGATTTTCCGAGTAAAACAAAAACAAACACCTGAATACAAACAACAGAATCCTCCCCACTTTCAGTGGTCCGAACAAAAAAATGCAGAAATCAACCACGTTCGGAATACTCTGTGTCACTTTAACAGCAACTGACTCACAAGAAGATGATTTGTATATCAGTCAGTGATACCACTCTATTGTACCAAAGAAGATAAAACTGGTAAAACCTACTTTTCAATTTCTAGGGCCGCTTGCTTTCTTTTTTCGTATAAACGATCGTTTAGGTTTCTTGCGATGCTCGGTGGGAGGGGCGAGTAGTTTACATCTGAGCTCATACCCATCGCCCCACTATTTTGGTAATTGCCAGTTCCTAAAACAACAACAACCGTTCGAACAAGTAAATTAGCACGTTGAAAACTGTTTGATTTTTTATGACACATAAAAGATTTATTTACTGTTAATTAATTCGAATAACTCTAGAAGATTTCATAATTGTGAAGGGCAATATTTGGTCCTAAGTGGTTTCATTTGCCCAAACTGTTTTTAAATTTTCATCTACCGTCTGACTATAAAAAGTTCTTCTCACCAGCTGGTTCGGACGGGTAGGAAGTAGAGGTCGTCATTGGGCTGGCGTTGCTATGAATGGATGCTGACATCACTCGACTCTACTTAATAGGAAATTTCCACATTCACGTCATACCGCCTGAAAAGAATTCACAACTGTTATCTATTCAACACAAAAGGGACGATAACTTTCATGTCCATTCGTTCAGAGTTCAGCTTCAGCAAAACTGTGAAAGTACTGAAAATTATGTCTTCACATTTTTATGCTATTACAACTATTACACATTTTGAAAGAGCGGCTTTTGCTGTTCTTTTCAAATCGTGATCTAGCAACCATTTTTGCTTGCTAGCTTTATTTTCAACAATTTTTTTGGGTAACGCAGTTTTAAATGGCAGATTGCAATAAATTCGAAAAAAAATCATTACTCTGCACAACTTAATTGCACGGACCCACCCGTAACATTAATCCACTTCTTCATAGATTCTTCTTGGACCAAACAAACTCAACGCGGAAAAATATAGTCGGTATTAAAATTTTTGTCTCGATTTTGGCAAGATGTCAATATGAATTGGTCCATCTGTTCCGTGACTACCCTTTGAGCTCCCCGCGAAGAAAAACGCCTCTTTTCCAAAAAAATGTCTAACCCCCTCCAGGTTATCTGTGAACACCAGAGAATTAAGTTGTGCAGAGTATGTTCGTGAACAATCACTGTTGCAGTCTACGGTTACCCAGTTTTTGTGATCACTTTTACATTTATATAGCACAATTTTTTCTCCGAAACCTCAAAAAATGGCAATAGGTCTATATTCATCCATAGAAAATTATAATACGGATATACCTATGATAATTCAACCCTATAAATATATCCGTTAAAATCAGTCATTTAAAGACCACTCTGAATTTAAATAACATCAATTGGATACGCCGTGGCTGACCGAGTGCGTAAGACGCGCGGCCTTTAACACGCGGCTACGGCGAAATGGATGACATACTATCAAAACAGGCACTTTAGAATCAATGTATTTTCGATGACAACTTTTGAGAATTTCGTCCTGAAACACGTTTTGCTGACAAAAGAATTTGATAAAATTTGAAACATTAAGGTTATCTTGCCTTTTCAAAGTCGTGAAAAAACATGAAAAAAGGTAATATTGCATTTGCAATGATTGAAAGACAATTCGTAACAGTGGACAATTCGCAATTTAAATTTTGACAGAGGCGAAGCGGAGCTTCGCATCACTTGCGATACCATAACAATAGCATAGCAAGGTAGCTGACAGGAAAAGAAAGGAGATCCACTTATTCCAAAGAAACCGGGAAAAATTATGAAGAAACCATATTTAAAAAAACTTCAAACTGCAGCAGACTAGCAGACAAAAATCGCAAGCTAGCAGACAAAAGGAAAGAACCGCAAATTCCAAAGGAAACGGAAAAACTTTCGAAGAAACCACAATTAAAAGAACTTCAAAATGTTGCCTGGAATGATGCTCTAGTTGCGGAAAACACGTCCAGAAAGACATTCGAAGGCATTTAGCTTAAATTCAAAAACAATTATCGAGCGAAAAAAAAACTGTTGTCATGAAAAACTTTGAACTATAAATTCTACTCTGAGACTTTTAACGTTTTGGGCGATCCGGAGGAAAGCTTAGTAGTAGAAGTAATAGTAAAAGATTTAAAGACAGTTCTCAAGGGTTCGCACCCAGATTCAAACTCATCAGTCTAGTTTTATCTTGCTTGTGATGTTATAGATACAAATAATGGAACCAAATAATGGTTCCCTCGAAGAAACCAAAATTAGGTTAGCAGGGAAATAAAATATAAGCCGAAATCAATTAGATTGAAACATTTTTGAGGAAAAAAACAAGTAAAATATACGAAGTCAAGGCTAGTAGAATCGCAAATTGCAGGAGTAAATGAAAATATAAAAATCAACTTCAATGAAAACTTCGTACGGCGAAAAAAATCTAAGATGTGGCAACTAAGCCGACAAAACTTAGTCAGATAAGTTATTGGACAAATTAAGCAGACAAATTATCGTTTGAACAAAAAATGATCCAGGTCAAAGCGAACCCAGGACATTTACTGTCCCGGGCGTATTCGTTACCTCCAGACTAAGTGTGCCGGAGACGCTTAGAAAGTTGAATTCATTAGGAACCAAGATACATAGTGATTCTGTTAAATAAGTTGTTTCCCAAAAAAAATGTATTCCGATTTGATAACGCTTGCTAATCGCAAGCGTAATGAGGCGAATATTCGTAACATACGACTATTTATATCAAGTTATTTTTATTCGTAACGCGGATTTTTTTCGATATTGAGCAATTAAAAAAACATAAGTTGACTTGACACCAAAGAAAAATATTAAAACATCTTCTAAAACAAAATAAAAAGCCCTTGCTAAATATTCGAGCTATCGAACGATTGGAAAATCTCAGCCGTTTGATAAATTCGGCATTTGAACCCATATTCCAAATCGCATTTCCGGTAGAGGGGCTAGCGCAAGAAAAAACTTCTTTATAAGTCCAAGTTTTTCATCCGTCTTATAGAGGGGGCTACTCCAAGCTCTTGAAAATTTGCTCAACTTACTCGAACAAACGTTAAAAAAAGCTGCCTTTCGTGAGGTTTGAAGGTTGAATCTGCCTGGAAAAGGTTAAACTGTTTTAGTTCTGCGACATCCCTCGCGTATTTGCCTTCAATTTTTGTGCTCATAAGGAAACGAACAATTGGTTGCTAACAACAGCATGTATTGTGTATTTTTGGTAAAACAATGAAGGGCGTGACTAAAACGCTCCATCGGCGGGTCAAATTAAACTGATCTGCAACATGTCTAAGTAACCTTGAGTAGAGAAAAAGAAAAATCGACCACCCTACTTAGATTCCGAATCATGCACTAGAAAACGGATTTGTAATCTAACACTACACTCGCTAGCTTGCATGAGTAAAAAAAAACCTAAGAAGGAAGACGAAGCTTGCTAAACATTTTGCGAAAACTTGGTAATACGTTGAAAACGTTAACAAAACATGCTCAAATCATTTTAAGATCTTGATAGTGCTTTGTGTTTTAATCAGAAACCCAAGCAATAATCCCGCGAAAACCAACTCTAAAAATCTGGGATAACTCGCGCGTAACTATTTCGGGAATGGATCTAAATTATTTCCGAGTAATTTACTGAGGGGTCCGAGCAATAGTTCAGTGCTTTGAATTTTGACATGGCATGGGTTTTATAGTCTCTACCTCGGGAAAAAGAGCGTGGCAAAGCATTTTGTAGAAATTTCCAGGTAAAGTTGTTGAAAAAAATAGAAAATTTAGTCTAGATAGAGAGGAAGGGTAAGGCTTAAAATTCCAAGCTCGGCTAACTATATTAAATTTGTATGATATGCAATTGGTTTGGGGCGGGGCAGAAAGTGTCGAGAAAAGCTGGTGTAAAATTTTTGATTTTTAGCTCAATTTCGAGCGAAAAACGCGATCGAGTAACGTTCGTTATATGGAAATTAATTATAATTTTTTTCTAATCATAGGCTCACAAAACTTGATTTAATTATCAAGAAAACTAGTTTTGGAGGTTTCTTTCAGCGGTTATTTGACAAAATAAATTTTCAAAAAAATAAAACTATTGTACAAAAAATAAAAAATTATTATCATGTTTTGTTTGGTGTTCATTTTTTGAAAACAAATTTTTTTGATCATGCCTAAATCGCTAATTCTCTACGCGATCGTGTAGGCATAGTTTTAGAATCACATCACCCACTAAAAACGACACTAATTCGAAGAAAATTTTCTAAAAAACTCTAATTTTGCAATGAATATGGTCGGAACATTCTGTGCCACTTGCAAAGCAACCGGCTATCCTTGTTTCGAGTATGGAATTTCGAGAGTAATACGTAATGGTAATACGTTGGTAATACGTTGAAAACGTTAACAAAACATGCTCAAATCATTTTAAGATCTTGATAGTGCTTTGTGTTTTAATCAGAAACCCAAGCAATAATCCCGCGAAAATCAACTCTAAAAATCTAGGATAACTCGCGCGTAACGCACCTCCGGTCCTTCGAATTTTCGACGAGTCAAAAATATACATTCTTTGAGTGTACTCTGGCAGCACCCAATTACAGGGTTCGTAATTAAAAATTTAGCAACATTTTATATTCAAGTTTTTCTATACGTCACATCTGAGAAACTAAAAGCAATTGAGCAGTCGCATTTGGACGCAAGATTTGCAACTCCTGAGAGTACTCTTACAGTACCCAACTACAACGTTGGGAAATTCAAATTTTGAGAAACTTCACCTTAAGTTTTGTAAAAGAAGTATCTCGAAAAGTACCAAAATTTGATCAATCTTTTTTGATGGCAATATTTGCAATCTTTGAAAGTACACAACTACAGGGTTGGGAATTTCACTTTAACAAGTTATTTTGTAATTTGAGTTTTCTGAAAATTTTCAAAAAATCACAAAAATTGTCATTCCTCTTCAGCAAAATTGATTTGGGCATTCTCAATTAGAGGCCGAATTTGCAACCCCTGAGATTACACTGACAGCCCCCCCCCCCCCCCAGGTTAGGAATTTCAAACTTTCAAAAAAAAATTATTTTAATTTTCATGAAATTTTTTTGAAAAAATTACAAAAAACGTCATATCTGGAAAACTGCAAGATTTTGAGCAGTCCTATTTGGAGGCAAAATTTGCAGTCATATTGGGAGGAAAAATTCGCAACTCCTGAGAGTACCCTGACAGAGCCTCAGTACAGAGATGAGAATTTCAAGTTTGCGATTTTTTTTATACCTAAGTTTTCTGAAAAATTTTGAAAAAATCCTAAAAAAACGTCATATCTCGAAAACTACAAAAATTTGAGCAGCCACATTCAGAGGCAAGATTCACAACCCCCTGAGATTACCCTCACAGATTCCAATAAAAGGATTGGGATCTTCAAAGTTTTGGAATTTTTTAACATTTAAGTTTTTTTTAGAAAATTTCAGAGAAAATCATAAAAAACGTCATATCTCGAAAACTAAAAGGATTTGAGCAGTCATATTTGGCGGCGAAATTCTTAACTCCTGACAATACCCTCACAATATCCAACAACAGGATTGAGATCTTCAACTTTTTGGAATTTTTTAAAATCTAAGTTTTTGAAAACTTTTT